GTCTCAGAGCAAATGGCAGCTGGGAATAGAACCCAGGAGTCCTAGCTCCAAGCCCCATTGGCTCTTTGCTCCATATTATCACCCCCGCCCTTCTCCCCTCCCTCAAATGCAAAAAACAAAGCCACTGATCAAACAAATGCCTGGCACCAATTCTACTGTCACACACACAAGCCACAGCTTGTATTTATTAGCCATACTGCTGTGGCACCACAGCCCCATTGTACCAAGCTCGGCACCTACAAACCTTGGCATCGATTCAAGAGCCAAAGACCCAAACAGACAAGCCAAGTGAAGGACCATTTGCCCCATTTTACTGCAGTGGAAACTGAGGCACAGAGCGATTCAGTGCCAGAGCTGAGAATTGAAGCTGGATTTTCCCTGTACCAGTGTAGGTCCTGAACCACTCGGGCACCTGTGCCACACAGCACCTGCCAGTTGGGCTGTGCCACACAGATCTAAGGAGGCATCAAAGATAACAGCAGTTACAGGAGCTCAAACTCCCCCTGGATCCAATCCTGAGCCCATCGCACCAGCAGGACAGCGCCTGCCTCCAACGGGAGCTGAGTTGGAACATGCAGTGCAGGATCCAGCCCCCAGCTGGGGACCCACGTGCCAAACTTGGGCACCTGAAATCTGGCCCCTAAATCCACATCAAGGCTCCTAAGATAGCTGGCCTGGCTGGCTGGTTCTGCCCAGATTCTGCAGGATCTGGGAATGCTCGTTATTAAGTGGATTACGGTAGCGACTATCAGCCCTGACCAAAATTGAGGCCCTATTGTGCCAGGGGCTGCACAGACCCAGAGCGAGAGACAGCCCCTGCCCCAAAGGGCTCCCAGTCTCAACTGACAAAAGGCAAGTGGGGAAACTGAGGCACAGAGCAGGGACGTGACTTGCCAGATCCGTGGAAAGAACCCAGGTGTTCTGACTCCCACACCAACACTCTGTCCACTAGTAGACGACACTGCCTGCCTACGAATCGCAGCCTCTTTGTAAGTGAGGCTTCTCATTTCAGGAGCCTAAGTCTGGATTAAGAACAGGAGTACTTGTGGCACCTTATAATATTTATTATGCTCTAATAAATTTGTTAGTCTCTAAGGTGCCACAAGTACTCCTGTTCTTTTTACGGATACAGACTAACATGGCTGCTACTCTGAAATAAGTCTGGATTGAAAACCAGACCCGCCAAAGCTCTGGGAAGATGGGTGGGCACAGACCCAGGGCAGCACTGATGTCTCCCTCTCCCTCCCTCCTTCCCCAGAGGGCGGCTGGACAGGCAGGGCCAAGTAGGGCAAGGAATGCTTCATTTTATTAAAGCACAACATGGACAGAAATATTTCTGAAAACGAGGCTTCTCTGCTGGTGTCACAAGCGTGGCACCCCCCCGGGACGTAGGACGCACGGAGTGGGGGAGGGGAGCGGCACTGAGCACCCAACAGGATCTAGCCCTTTGTACAGCCAGCCACTTAGACAAGAACTCACGACCAACACCCCTCCCCCAGCTGTGGGGATAGAACCCAGGAGTCCGGGCCCCCAGCCTCCTTTACTCTAGCCACTAGACCCCACTCCCCTCCCAGAGTTGGGATAGAACCCAGGACTCCTAGGTTTGCTTTTTGCCCTGAAGGCGTCTAAAGCCAGGCAACATAGGCGCCGACTCCGTGGGTACTCCAGGCCTGGAGCACCCACAGGAAAAAATTGGTGGGTGCTGAGCACCCACCGGCAGCTCCTTGACCCACCCTGCCCCGCCCCGCCTCCGCTCCACCTCCACCTCCCGTGAGCGGGCTGCCGCATCCTTCCTCTCCCCCCTCCCTCCCAGCGCTTGCGCCGCCAAACAGCTGATTCGCGCAAGCCTGGGAGGGAGGAGGAAGGAGGAGGAATGCAGCACGCTTGGGGAAGAGGCGGGGCCGAGGGCGGGGAGTTTGGGGAGGGG